CTTTTTATTCGCTTATAGCCTATCCATAATTCAAAGCATGGAGAAAACACAGGTTTCATCATTTCAACAACAACAACAGTGATTTTCTCTCAGTGTATATTTTTACCATGAAGATTATTTTATTACCATCAACTTCTTACTCATACTCAACTTAATATTTTTAACATAACTCCTTATACAAATTAGCCTGAAAATATTTCAATTTAGCAGCGCCGGTGGTGTAGTGGTAAGCGTGATTGCTTCTCACCCCAAATGACCTGGGTTCAATCCCTGTCGGGTGTTGCCACGATTTTTTAAGATATAAAATCTCTGATCACGCCTTCGAAAGGGAAGTAAAATCGTTGGTTTCCGGTTCATGAGTTGATGGGTCGATTGGTACACGGACAGAAAATTGTTTGCATTGAACAAAAAAAAAACTTTATTTGTATTTAAACAAACAAATCCGGTTGAAATTATTTTGCATTTTATTGTTTCGATAATACTTATTCAAATAAATTCAAAATAAGATTCTTTTTGTTTTAATAAGCCACTCTTCAACTGCAACTATTGTAAAAATTACAATATTCTTTTATTAAGCCAACAATAGTTAATTTTAATTAAGCATTTATTTGTTGTGTCCGTTCCCCGGGCCATGAACGCAAAAATAACTACCAACCATTCCCTCGTTCCCGGACAAAAATGTAAACAATAACACAAAACTGTTCTCCTTTGATTCAGCTCTTTTCCGCGTTCGACGTAAATATTGTTTTTAATAGTGAATTTCGGGAAACAAGTGCAAGATTTCCGAAAACCTTGAGACTTGAGGTAAGTAAGTATGCTGCAGTTGCTAAATATAAACCGTTTTTTTTTTCTTGATCTTTTTTTCCGTCGATCTTGCTTTCCGTACTGAGTACCAATGATCCCGACGCTAAGAAGGCAGCTCCCACACCTGGACCCTACCTGTCGACCCATCTACTCATAAATCGGAGAGGTTTTATGCCTCAGAAAGGTTTTCTTTTTTAAATTCAATTGTAATTCTGTTTGTTACAAAAAGAAAACAAAACATAAACATAATCGCAAATTACTATTGAATCAATAAACATATTTTTATTTGTACTGCGTATATTTTCAGGCTTAAGGGGAAGCTCACCGGCCCGAAAATAAAAAAATATTTTCGGTACCTTTTTATTTCTCTAAAAAAATTGGGAAAAATTATCAAAAATCCAAGAAAATCAGTTTCTTTCTTAGATTTTTGTCAAAAATTACATGTAAAAATATTTTTTTCTATCCCATCATGAAAAAAATTGGACTCTCAGAAAAACCGAAAAGTTGATGTTTTGTGGTTTTTTGAGTCCAACTTTATGCCATAATGACTTATAAAACATGTTTTTGCACGTGAATTTTCTTTAAAAAATTAGAATAAATATGATTTTTTTAGATTTTTGATACTTTTTTTCAATATTTTTAGAAAAATCAAAACGTAATTATTTTTTTCGAAGCGGTGAACTTCCCCTTAATAAAATAAATATGATTGAATCAACAAGAAATCTCTTTTAATAACATACATATTTTGTTGTTGACCCAGCTGCCAAATTTGACAGCTAACGTCAAAACCATGAAAGCTCTTGTAAATTCGAAAAGATTTTCTTTTTGATTTAACAATCCATTGGTTCTTAGAAACAAAGGTACTGGAAATTCTTATTATTTTACGTCAAATATTATTACGCTTAAAATATGTTTCTCTACGTGTAGGGTCCAGGTGTGGAAGCTGCATCCCTTGCGTCGGTAGCATTGGTACTCAGTACGAAAAACAAGATCGACGGAAAACAAATCAAAGAAAAAAAAACATTTCAATTTATTTCATGTGAAATATTAGAGGCTGCGTATAAGCGTCACGACATGAGAAAAATATTGGAACTCACATCCCGGGTTTCAAAAGATTATCATCACATCACTTTCACTTGGCAACAGAGGACTTCTGCATCAACTTCAAATGATTTCTAGCGAGAAAGCAAATTTGTGGCTGTAGTAAATCATTATATCAGTGATTGTGTCGAATTATCTTTACAACAAATATTACACATTCTCATTACTGATAATTACCAGACGTACGGATATCCCATGATCAGCTAATGTTTATGATATTTTTTTCGATTATATTTCATATTTTATTGAAATACCTTTCGTGAAGCACTCATGAAGCATCCTAAGGTTTGTTTACTTTGTACGATAGGTAGCCGGTTTGGCAGTTCAATAGGTAGACTTGGCTTCACGCTTATCTTCACTCTGGTACTCTTGGAAGTACCACCTTGGATGACATCCAACTTAAGTGCAAAGTTTCATTCAAATCTAAGAGAGTCTTGTCCAACCGATTCTCTATTTGGCGTAGAAATGCGAGAACCCAAATCCTAACCACATCCAACTAGAAAGCAACGGACAGAGCGTGTATTAATAATCATGTAATCATTTAAAACTTGTTTAATGATTATCCTCACAAACAAACACCAATTCAGGTAAACGTTTTAAGGTTCAATTTACTTTGATGCATTTTCGAAAAATTCGAATGCAGTTTTTTTGGCCGCATCATTTCAGATTGCAAAAAGCTCGCATCATTTTGTGTAAAATAGCAAAAAGAATAGAATGACGCGAGCTTCTTGCAATCTGAAATGATGCGTCGAAAAAAACTGTATTTGAATTTTTTTTAAATGCATCAAAGTAAATTGAACCTTAAAGCGCGCTCGCAATCCAAAGGCAAATTTGTATGTTTACCTCCATCCAACTTCGTAATAAGTTATCAGTTCTATTGTGCTTTATCATGAACAAATAAATTTGCAATCATTGCAGGTTGATAAACGAACCAAAAATAAGAGCCTTTGGAAAAAAAAATAAGATTTAAGCTTTAGGGTTATGCAGAAGTTTTAAGTTTGTATAAATTATATTATTATTTTTATGCTTAATTTAAAAAAAAATACGAATAGTATCAATATAACGTTGATGCTAGTTGCAAATATTTTACAGCATTCACTGTTAGAATCCAAGTTAGAGCGATATTAGCGAAATATTAAATTTAGGGGAAATGGATCTAATGCCGGCCTAAATGCTTGTACATAATATGGACCCATACATAAATTTAGCAATCGACTAAATTTTCAATAGCGACCAAAAATATCCATTAGTACCGTCCCAATAATGGGTTCAACCAAATAAAATTGATAAATAGCAGATGTTTAGTGACGGGCCCAATCTTAGATCCATAGGCCAACATTAGAGCCATTTCCTCTGTAATATTATTTTATTAGCAATAATTCATGAATTAATTGGAAGTGGATGACAACATATAACTTTTTTTTATGCAAAATGTAGCACCCTAATCAGCACACCCTGAACAAATTTCTCTAACATCCTATGTAAAGTTAGATTTATTACATCCTCTACATATGTTTCATACAATAAATATAATGACAGTTCTTGCAATGGACTGCAGCGTACATGCAAGTTTTTCCAGAATACATATTTTTATGTAAAACCTTCACGAGATGATGTTCAAGTCGAGACGACCGCGAGTACTCGGTTCAATTCCTTTAACTTTAGATTTATGACACTAATAGTGTATAACGCAAATGATAATTTGGCTCTGTAAAGTTTATTCGATTGAACTTGATTTTGATTTTGATTTTGATTTTGCGAGACAGAAGGGGGTCTTATGAAAGCCAGATCTCAAGTCTCAAGGCCAAATTCCAGAACTTGAGTGGAACATGGTTCTCACGTCAGACTATAATGTCTAAAATGAACCACATGCCCCAACCAACCCCTAGAACGGCTCCCATACACTCTCCATGCTGAATCGTGAGTTCCCCCTTTTCCCATATCATTACATGCAAAATAATAACCCGATGCAGGTCAATTGAATATGCCTAATTGAATTAGTTGCAATGATAGTGTTAACAGTAATGACAGTATAATATAGTAATTTAATAAAATGAATATTTACCTGTTAATAATGATCGAGGTTGGTGAAAAGTATGGGAAGTTGTTAGTAAAAGCAAAAACTCCACTGAATGCTAATAAATGAAACCGATGAATGACTGACTATTTTACGAGAAATCAAGGAAGTAATATTGAATAGTAGTAGTAAAGAGTGATTTGCGGTAGAACAGTCGTTTTGTTTGCGCTCTCGTCGTCTTCAAATTCGCTCATAAGGAAATCATCTTCGCTGTCTTCATCCGAGAAGGAATATAGTTGATATCGTTGTTTTCTTCAAAACTGCATCGTATTGATCTAAATAAAAGAAAAGAAAAAACAAAATCGCCACTCGATCAAGCCAAATTCAAAGATAGTATCTGTGATGTAGCATTCCAAAAGTTTTGAGCCAAATAATGAAAATTAATTTTTTACATTTTTGTAACTATTAGACTCAATTATTTAAAAGAAACAATTCATATTTTATACTATAATTCTAAACTACATAATTATTTAATTTTGGCTAGTAGTTAAATCAAAACAAACTTTGGTCCGCTGCATCACAACTGGCATCACTAGTGTGCATCTTTCAAAATGTAAAGATACAGACAAGCCCTGGGACCTGGTAACAGTTAAGCAATCCTCAAGGTTATGCCAATGCCCAGGGTAAAGTTTATTCGATTGAACTTATGCAATAAATTAAATCACAAAAAAATATGTTCAAGATGCAATGCATTTGGGGAAACAAACTTTGTTCGAAAAATAAGCTAACATAAAAATACAAAAATGTTTTAAAAACCTTCCGGTGATCACATTACAGATCCTGTTCATGTCGCGAAACGTTGCAAATTCTGCATACTTTTCATGCAAATCTGTGATACAACTTACATTTCCCGGTTGGGTGCACCTAACTATACAGACGCTGCTATCACCTATGAATTTAACTGATTTGAATGTGTGTTAGTTCGCTTGATCAATACAAAGTCGTGTACGTAACACTGCTCTGATCTGCAGGCACACTACCCGAACAGTACTTCATTCATTCGTCTTCGTATCGTTAGCCGATCAAGTCGCACGTATAAACTCAAACCGGTCTTGCCAGCTACTGTTCGTCTTGAAAACAGAATGAATGCATCAAGTGAGTGTGAATTGTATATTTTTAAGAGTTGTTTAAATTGATAAGTTCTTATCCCGTTTAGAATGCTTTTGTGGTCCAGGCTATGCAACGCCAATGGATGCTGTCCGAAATGGACCTCGGGAAAAAGTCCTATATGTGGTAACGGTGCAGCCCAATCTAGACGAGCCCCATGGTGACTATCTGTCGACAGTGGATGTAGATCCAGAAAGTCCAACCTACTGTCAGGTAATTGTTTTGTTATTTGCAAAGATAAGATTAGCGAAATTTGAGCACTGTTTTATTTAGGTCATTTATCGCACCTTCACGAACAGTACGGGCAACGAGATGCACCACAGTGGGTGGAATACTTGTTCCAGTTGTCACTTTATTGACGACAAATCAAAAGCTCCAAAGCGTGATCGACTGATTCTTCCGTGTTTGAATTCCGATCGTATCTTCGTTGTCGATGTTGGAACGGATCCTAGAGCTCCAAGCCTTGCTAAAATCATCGAGGGAGACGTGCTAAAGAATGCCAACGTAACGGCTCCCCATACCACTCACTGTTTGCCAAATGGAAACATTATGATTTCGATAATGGGCGATGCGGAGGGAAATGCAAAAGGCGATTTTATTATATTTGATAAGAATTTTGAATTCGTTGGTACGTGGACCAAAGGGGAAAAAATCGCTATGTGTGGCTATGACTATTGGTACCAGCCATGCTTCAATGTGATGGTGTCCTCTGAGTGGGGCGCGCCTAAGCTGTTCCGACGTGGGTATGAAGATTCTGACGCGGAGGACACTGTTCAGTACGGTCGACGTTTAAACTTTTACAAATGGAATGAACAAGAATTGTTCCAAACCATAGAGTTAGATGCCGACGGGACATGTCCGCTTGAGATAAGATTCTTGCATAACCCTAGAGAAAATCAGGGCTACGTTGGATGTGCTCTGTATGCTAACGTTTACAGATTTTTCAAAGATGAAGGCTCCGATAAATATTCGATTGAAAAAGTGATTGACGTTCCAAAAAAGAAGGTTGAAGGATGGAATGGGCAATACATCAATGGTATGATGACTGACATTCTCATCTCACTGGACGACCGATTCCTTTACTTTAGTAATTGGCTACACGGAGATGTTCGTCAGTATGATATAACAGACCGTTCGAAACCGAAACTGACCGGGCAGGTATTCCTTGGTGGCGCAATCCTAAGTGATTCCAAGGTGAAAGTCGTCGAAGACAAGGAGCTCACAAAACAACCAGACCCAACGTTAATTAAGGGCCGAAAGCTTTTGGGTGGACCACAAATGTTGCAACTGTCACTGGATGGTAAGCGCCTGTACGTGTCGTCTAGCTTGTTCTCTCCTTGGGACAAGCAGTTCTATCCGGAAATGGTGAAAGCGGGTGGAACAATTGTACAAATTGATATTGACACGGTCAATGGTGGCATGAAAATCAACGAAAACTTTTTGGTTGATTTCGGAAACGAGCCGTATGGTCCGTCGCTACCACACGAAATGAGGTGAGTGGGTGGGCCATGAGTAATTAATTTGATTGATTGCAACATAAAAACTAAATTAAACCTCTCCCTCAGATACCCTGGTGGTGATTGTACATCCGATATCTGGATCGAGAACGAGTGAAAATGCTCCGCCAGCATAAATGGACAGCAACAAACTTGGGCTTGGCTCACATTCCATGATTAAAAGTATCCTATAATGTTCATACTCAGTTTTCATATTCCATTGTTTTGCTAATAAAACTTTGAAAATTAAACTAGCAAACTGAAGCATCTTCCTTGAGGGAAAAAGATAAAGTTTACTAGACACGAAATAAAAATTACAATTTCAATTTCCTGAGTGGGTCGAGAAACTTAGCCTTTCCAACTGGGAAAGCTTTCATCAGCAGTTCCATCCATCATTCGGGTGGTGGGATGATAAATTCCACCGCAGTTTTACGGGAAATGGTCGCACTAAATCATAAATCGGATGAAAACTTTACGCTGCAAGCTGTGATTGGCTTGGGCAGAAAATCCTGGATCGGATGGTTCTATCGTCCCGTAGCAGGATAGCTTGCTATTTAACTTTGCCACCGCAAACAGTAGGGGCTACTTCTTTGCAGAGCGATCTCTTAAATGAAATGCAGTTAGTAATTTATCAACTGTCGGTTTCTGAATGAAACTTTTTTCATTGCTAAATTATAAGCTACATCGGAAGTCACTCAAACCGGGTAAACTTTCCTAAAAAAAATCTGCTCAAATATGAAGAAAATTTTAATCAGTCTATGAATATAGGTACTCGTAAAATCGAGTCGAACATTTACGCAGTCTATGAGTGCCCAGCGTTTTTTACGAATTTGAGTAAACAGAACTTCAATTTGAGCTGGATTTAACGGCCGTGTGCCGTCATGAAAGTTCGAGCTAGGAAGCATAGCAAAAGGCGACTTGATAAAATAAATATGCATGCGCTGACGCTTTCACGTGAATAAGATACAAAATAAGTGAAACGCTGTTCGTAAATTATACCGTCGTGGATGGATTCTTTGTCCACATTTCTGGTGTAAGCCAACTTGATCATGCTCGTATGAAACCAATAAAGTAGTTAATAAAAGGATGTGGTAGGGTAAATGCTCCTATAGTTCCGGTACGTTGCGGTAGGTTCCTATCGTTGTGTATGGAGACGATGGAGACTTCATACACAACTATAGGAACCTAACGCTACTAATAGCTAATTTGTTTATTGTCCAGGTTGGAACCGGTTCTAACCCGTGCAAACCAGAGCTTATTGTCAGTGCGAACCTAAACCCAAGTCAGGCTACAAAAACAAACGTTCACACTGACGTTTGACGTACAACAAGCAGACCCAATCTTGGGTTGGAACTGAATCAAAAACAAATTCGCTATAAGGTACTGCAACAAAAGAAGCGTTTACCCTACATCCAGTAGGGATATCTTATGGTGTGTAATGTGAAATATATGAGCGACCAATACTGATTGTAGAAAATGTTCGCCATATAGCCATTAAACCGCAGTCGGAAATGTAAAATGTCATCTGTTTTGATAATAAAATTAAAAAAATCAATCGCTGTTATACATTGCATCCAAAAATATAAGTCTTTTGATAATCACTTAGAAATATATTTTGCTAAGTTAACATGCGAATAAACATGTACCCTGTACCGCGCTATTGAATACAATCATCAAACATCATTAAAATGCTATGTTTTCATGACAGTTATGACGTCATAATGTTCCCCTACGGAAGAGTGGTAGACGGAAATATATAGCAGATTTATTGATTACACCACGGCGCAATACACTATTTAATAAAAAAAAAAAGTTTGCCTTTTGGTTGATCGATTCAAAAGTTTTATAATTATTTTTTTTTTCAAAGCCTGAGAATCTTGTCATTTATTTGAGTTACAGACAACACATTTTTGAATGTATTTTGAGTTAACGAGATTAGATTTCAAGATTCTGGGACTGATTGAAATTATAAAGATTCTGAGAAATATTCTAGTGACGTCGAAAAAATGCCAAGAAACTAAATTAACAAATCAAAAGACTCTGGATTAAGAAATATTTTTTAAAATCATAGAATTTGATTTATTTAATAAGAGTCTGTCAGAAACTAGGGTGTTGGGAAAGAGGAAGTCATAGCTCTATCTGATAAGACAAACCATCGGTAGTATGGGGGGATCAACAAAATGTCTTCACTTTAAGATTTGAAATTTACGGATGGCGAAAGATGTACACTTATTCAGATTTTTTAAACTGAATATTTACAGAAGTTCGGGGACCTTCTTAGAAATCAATGGAAATTCATAGAAACTATGGCTCAAGAGGTTTTCAGGGAACTTCGGTAGATTGTTGGGAAACTTTTTAAATGTTTAGACTATGTTATATAACTTCACGAAATATCATGAATCTTCGGAAATTTCAAAGAACTACAGAAAACTTTTTAGAACTTCAGGAACTGTTTTGGAAGTTCTGGAGATTTTCTAGAAGTACAACAAATGTTATAGGAGTTTAGCTATTAGTGTTAAAGCTCAGCTTCATAGAAATTTAGTGAACTTCGTAAACTTCAGTGAACTTCGTAGAAATACAATTTATTTAGTAGAACTTCATCAAACTTTAAAGAAATTTGTAGAAACTAGGGGACGCTCATTAAAATGTTGGCATTTTTGTTTACCTTCATTGAGTTTCTTTAAAGTTTAGTGGCTATGGAGATGTTCAAGTGAAATCGTAGAAATGCTTGGAATCTAATATTGATCCGGAGAGATTCGATTTTTTTTTTAAACTTCGTAAAAGTTAAGAAAAGTTAATGAAACTTTGTTCTATTGCAGTAAACTATTAATAATCCAGGACCTTCTTTTGACTTTGGCACTTTTAAAAGTTGGAATACTTTAGGGAATCGCATAGAATCTCAAAATAGTTGTAGAACCACAGGGAAGAGATAATAAATGAAATTCTTAGAAGTTCTAAAAGCTTCATAGAAGGGCAAAGAATTTATCGTAGCTCAGCGATCTTTGTACAAGTTGAGCGAATTGAATGCAAATCGTAACTTCTGTGAAGAGCAAGGAATGATGTTGAACTTCAGAGACCTTCTAGAAGCTTGGCTAGATTTTCAAGAAATTTGTGGAATTCAGGGAGTTTTGTAGATGTAGAAATTCAACATGATATTCTGAGATCTTGGACAAATTTCCGAAAACAATGAATTGTGACACAGGAAATATTTACAAGTTCAGCAATCTTGGTAAAAACTTCGTATAAGTTCAGAATAGTTCGTAGAAGTGGACGCAACTTTCCAGCAATTCGCAGAACTTTCCACAAATTTAGATAACTTCATCGAGGCTCAGGGATCAGATGAATTGATTGGGAAGAAGTTGAGGGAGCTTTATTTGAGTTCATGGAATTGAATTAAAGAAACTTTGTTGATATCCATAGATTTTCAATATGTTTTCAATAAAGTTGTTAAGGAATATTTGACCATAATGTTTATAAGGATGTTTATCATAGTCTTGAAAAATTAAAAGGTTTATTCTGTATTATTCTGAAGATCAGAAACAGTTCTTCAACGAATTTAAAATGTTTTCAAAATTAAGAAATATCTTTAAAACGAAAGGAGAGATTCAATCTTTATAAGAGACGTATGCGCATAGCAATAAAGTGATACTTTATTCACTTCACTTCACAGGCCAAACCGTGAATAGGCAATTAATTAAGAAATTCAAAGTCGCAGCAGCGTTTAAAAAAAAAATATCGCAATTTATCCATGAATTGCAAAAATAGATTACTCCGGTATTTATTTTTTTTTAATTCTCTGGGGTGGCCAGCTCTAGGTCTTGGAGGGCAGGCCCGCCCTTATTTTCATGAATGTGAATCTACCTCTAACTGCGTGACAAAACGTTTTGGCAGCGATAGTTGCACCACTGATCCCGAGAAGAATTTCAAGGAAATCAAATACCGAAAATATTTCCAAAATAATTCTAGGCATGATTCCAAGAGAATTTTTCAAAATGAATGTTTGGTATTTTCGGTATTCATTATCAAACAAATTGCGTCGACTTCCTCAGGGCCTACAATTTATGTTTACAACACAATAGTTTGGTTGGTTTATTGGACATACATACAACGAAATGGAAGGACTACTCACACGATTTGGCAATCAACAAGTTAGTTTGTTTGTGAACATTTAACAGTCGGGTTGTAAAGGGTAAGGGCAGCAACGGCGTATACAAAATAGCATGTCAGGACTATCGAGACTGTCGAGACTGCTATATTGGTATGACCAAAAATCAGCTGTGAACGAGGATGTGTGGCCACCAATATTGTATAATTACGCTCGAGTAGAAACTATCGACCGGATGCGCATACACCTGCCAACCCGCCGATTTGTGGCATTAGGTGTGAAAACCATTATCTGAAAGTTTTAGCTCATTTGGTTCTAAGATGAGCTGGCGCTTTTAGTTTGAATTTTGTATGGGGAATTTGGAAAAAATACATGAAAAAATGATACTCCTACACTCTATCGAACATAAAAAGGTTCCCTTATTCTCGAATTGATTCAGATTTTCAAAATTGTAGTTCAATCAATGAGTAACAACTTTGCAGAAGATTGCATCATGAATCCTTACTTACCTTACCAATCAGGCTAAGGCCTTGTTGTCCTCTGTTGTCCGAAGAAGTCGTCTCCAGTCTACTCGATCCATGGCCACAGTTCGCCAGCCTCGTAGTCTGCGAAGGGTCCGCAGGTCACCTTCTACTTGGTCGATCCACCTTGCCCGCTGCGCGCCTCTTCTTCTTGTTCCTGTTGGGTCGCTTTCTAGAACCATTTTCACTGGGTCGTCGTGCGACATTCTTACGACGTGCCCAGCCCACCGTAGTCGCCCAATTTTTGCAATGTGGTGCAATTCGTGGTTCATTCGCCTCCTCCACGTTCCGTCATCCATCTGCACTCCACCGTAGATGGTACGCAACACCTTCCGTTCGAAAACACTAAGGGCGCGTTGGTCCTCCACGAGCATAGTCCAGGTCTCGTGGCCGTAGAGGACCACCGGTCTAATCAGCGTCTTGTAGACAGTCAACTTCGTGCGGCGGCGAATTTTATTCGACCGGAGCGTCCTCCGGAGTCCAAAGTAGGCACGATTTCCTGCCATAATGCGTCTTTGAATTTCTCTGCTGGTATCATTTTCGGCGGTCACCAGTGAGCCCAAATACACGAACTCATCGACCACCTCGATTTCGTCACCGTCAATCTGAACTCGGGGTGGGAGGCTAACATTG